TAGGCCTTGGGCCCACGGACGGGCCCCGTGTAGCCACGTCGCGGACATCGACGACTCCACGCCCTATAAATACGCATAAATATTCCCATAAATCCCGTGTAACGTCGCATTACACGCGTTCACGAGAAGGGCAGGAAGATTGCGAGGCCCCGTGTGCGCGGACACGGTCGAATCAAAGGAAACGGAAAGGGGGAGGTTAGGGAAAGAGGGAGAGGGAAAGAGAGGATCGGTTTTGCGAAGCGTGCACCAACCGACCAAGGTGCGCGCAGTGTGTATATCATATATGGAATAAATTACGCTTAATGTACGTACTCGCCGACCACGGGCCCTTTTTGGATTTATACACTCACATTGGATGACTTTCTGTGTATATTTCCATGTAATCGAGCGTTTAACGCGTAATTCGTGAATTATTTATCGAACTGAAGAATTGAAGGAAATTTCTATCTTTTTTTTTGATCGGAGGAAGAAAATAGATTGATAACGATAAATTTAATTTTTAAATTTATTTGTATCTTGTATTTATTTCTTGTTTCGTTAGAAAGTAATATATACAATATCTTTAGTAATCTTTAGTATTAAGTATTTAGTATTTAAGTTTTAAACAAAACAAATTTTTGTTAAGTCCTTATGATTGGAAAAATATTAATACTTTTATAAAGTTACTGTATGTCAAATATTCGTTTTTTTATTCGAAAATCTCGATAAGACGAAGTTTCTATAATTTGAAGATTTGAATCTTTTTTAGATTCAAATTACCGAAATTTGTCAGTGAAATTTTTTATATGAATAAAATTTTAATAAATGATGCTTAATTAATTGAAATTTAGGTTATTTATTCCTAATTATTTATTCCTAATTATTAATAATTATTATTATTTATTCCTTAGATTATATATATTTTTATTAGATATTTGAATAATTGACAATTTACAAAATTTTAATTATATGAATATGTTTATAATTGAAAATATATATAATACTAAGTATTCAAGAATTATTCTGCTTTAAAAATTGTTCTCAAATTTATAAGATTTGATACATTATTATGTATTTAAGTGCAAATATTTAAAAATATTCTTATATAAACATAAATTTTTTATTAATTGAATCAGAAAATTATAGATAATTAGAAGAATAAATAGGCTTTTATCCATATTTCGAATATTTATTTACACGTTTATACGAAACTTAAATATACAGAATCATAGAATGCATTATATTTACTTCTTAATTAGTTAATTAGCTCCAATGTTATTAGCAATTTTAATGATAATAAAATAATATAATAGAATAACAATCAAATTGATATAAAATATTAATTATTTTTTTCATAAAATTCATAAATTTTTCATAAATTCATTTTAATAAATAAAGATTTTTTAAACATATATTTAATTTAAATAAAACATACAAATTGTTTTTTTAACTATAAGATAATTTAAATCTTTATAGAAAAATAGTAAAAATTTAAATATAAAATAAAATTTATATTATAGAAAAATATAAAAACTTACAAATCAACCAATCCGAAACGCTCATTTTGATTTCAATATTCTTCATGATTTTAAATTATTTATGCAAAAAATATTATTGCAATAATAGTTTAATAATCTAATAAACAAACTTTAAAGTATTCATTTACATGTTTATAAATAATATAATAAATATTATATTAGTATTAAATATATAAAATGTGAAAATATTCTTAAAAAATTCTCAAAAAAAAATTAATATTTAATTAACCAATTTTTTAATAAATT